AAACTACATTATAAATCTGAAAACATTTCTACACATTGGTGTCTAATAAACACAGTAATTACTGGAAAAAAAATATAAACCCATTTTTTTTTTTTTTTTTTTACAAAAAACTGGCTCAATGGCTAGTAAATGCAACAATTTGCTAATAAAACAATCCTTTTTTCCTTTACCTGTAAGATCCTATAAAAGAAAGAACCTTTGAGTTTAAGATAATCCTCTTGCAGCAGATTGATCAGTAAAGTCAGAGTTGTCCTTCTAACTTGCAAATCTGGGTCTCGGAGACAAGCAGTAACTTGTGGCATCAAGGGATCCACCAGTGTTGCATACCTAAAGAAAATATGTACCAATGATAACAATTATAATAATATAATAATAATAATAATAATAATAATTATAACAATAATTATCATTATTCTCGTATCATTATGAGGTATAAATGTAAATCAATTAATTTAACATATAACAAAAATAGGTAGCATCTTAACCCAGTAGCACCATTACATTTTCAAACCGAAAATAATGGTTTCCAGGTGGCTTCAAAATCAGCGCACGGGCCAGTCCAGGAACCTGCCCGTGCGCCACCCACCACAGGCGACAAAATCAGAACACAAGCTCTGATCTAGCACCGCAATGGCAGGACGCCCAGTAATGTTTTTATTTCTGGGCATCTCAAATGTGAGACACCCATGAATCAGATCCACACATACATAACAAACTATTAAATATCAAATAAAACCTCCAAATATTACCTGACACACATATCTGATAGTGTGAAGACAATATTGATCTTGAGAGATGAGCATGTACTGGAATCTAGCATCTTCCCAAGAGCTGGGATGATGCGTTTGGCTTGATCTTCGTGTTGCAAGCACATTTTGCCCAGGGTCACCACAGCCAGAGCCTGAATAGCAAATAAGTAATCAAGAGGTGCTAGAATAGCATAAGGTATAAGTAAAAATAAATCAAATAAGACAAATATGCAAATGGTCTGAGCAAATCACCCTACCAAGGTAGGAAACATAGTGCCTTTGGTAAACAAACATGGTGCCATCTAAGTGATGTCCCAGGGTTCACTTGAGCAATCTCATATTGACATGAAAAGTTATGGTGTGATAAGACCTTAAAAATATGTTATTGAAAATGAAGATACATATACTTTTGCAGAGCCATGTTAAAAACTATGCACTAAAAAAATATGGTCAAAGTTTGCAAGCAAGCGCTCATGGATATAAGACATGTTTCTCAGATGCTGGTCCATCAAACCTCTCTACATCATAATAATCCATTCACATAAAGTTAGCCAATAGAGTTAAAAATTAGAGGCAAGGGAAACATTTTCACCATGCTTTTTGCCCTCTTAATTAACTGCAGCATACATTATTTTTTTTACTAAATAAGGGTAAAAGAGCCTCTTCTATGGGTCTTTTTCTCCTGAATGACCACAGTTAGGGGCAAAAAAGTAAACAAATGTCTGACCTACAACTTAGAGCAGGCTTGACTGCACTTGACTTGATAGGGTGTCACATGGGAGTGATGATAGATGCCATGCAATGAGTGGATTACATCCTCAAAAAAATCATAATAATAAATAATAATAATAATTAAATAAATAAATAAATAATTAAAAAATATATAGAGATATATGCATATATATATGTATATGCATATATACAAAAAAAAAATATATAAATATATATATATATAATATATATATAATTAAATATATATATATATATATATATATATATATATATATATATATATACATATATATATGGATATTCAAAAGGATAGCCAAATAGATTTTTCATAACCTACTCAAACTGAAAACAAAACCAACTTCTCAAATCAAACCTGCACTCTAGTAGTTGGTATAAAAGTGATGGCCGTAGGCTGAGAACTCTGTGTCTGGGACGAGGGGATAATTGCTGACCCAGTTCTCTGTACTCCTGATTGGTGAAATATGATACTCTGCAGCATCAAGAACATCCTTTTGTTGACCTTGTGAGGACAAAGCATTGAAGCCTCTCCCAAGGTAAACAGGTGTCTGTAGATGAGATTAAGATTGAAAATGAAGTTCTGTCATTGACTTTGCAGTCTCTTTTGATTAATCATGGGATATAAAATCTAAAATAAAAAGGAAAGTCTCTGAAGGATGATAAAGAAAAGGAGACAAGGATAAAACTGATTGAAAAGTTGTAGAAGATAAAAAGATAGTAAATACAAAGAAAAAAATTATAATTGATATGAAAAAAGGAGGAGGAGAACATGCACTGAAAATCCAAATTTATACTATTTATATCATTTAGTCTTTTGAAAAATTTGACTGAACAAAATTAACCCACTGGATCCAGGTACATTACAACATGCACATGGACCAATATCTAGGTTTTACACTTACTTGAGACACCACTCTCTCTTCTTGTGAGCTACACTGGGCCAACCCAGAGGAACTTTTATGTGTGATATATAGACTCAATGCCACACTTTTGCAATCACATTATCTATTTTCTGCAAAAGCATTTTTTTCCTTTTTTGCAATTTACCAAGGTCTATATTTGTCCATTGTCATGCTATATCAAGATGGAAATAAAATGTTTTCCTTTGCCAGATTCTACATAATCTCTCTAGGTAGTCTACAACTGCATGGTAACAGTCACAATAAAGATTTGTTATCCTATTTTTTCATATTACTTGATTTTCTATAACAACCTGTGTAGCCAGCCACAGCCAACAGGAACAGGATCCTGAGCATGGAAAGTGCTGTTCTTGTCACTACTTACAGAGGACAGATGATACAATAAACCCTTGGAAATTGAAATAATAAAAGAGCCCCTTCCTAAACACTCATTGAGTCTCATCTTTCTCCAAGAACTTTATATGTTTACGATGACTCATTTCTGTCAGCCCAGCCCTCAGCCAAAATTCTCATGATGGCATACTCCATCACCCCAACCCACAGCCAAATTTTTTAAGATGGTATATTCATGTCATGCAGCCCTCAGCCATTTTTTTTTTCCTGATGTGATGGTCATGTTATTCAGATCTAATGGGTTAATTCTGTTGATTTGACATCACAATAAAATCCACAAGAGACAACCAAGTACGCATTCATCATCCCTTTCTTACCTGAAAAGCAGCTCCTCTCCCTCTTTGTCTATGGGGTCTGTCTTTTCAAACAGGATGTGTTTCAAGTGGTCGTCACACATCTTAAGAAGTGGAGCCACCCATTTCTCTATGTCTTTTTGTCCTGAAAGTTCATGTTCATTTCATATTATATATATAAAATATTACCTTTGTATTTCCATGAAAGGACCAGATTGTAAGAAATGTAAATGTAAAAGAAAATAAATCTAGTTGTAGCTTCTCATAAAAACAAAAATTATGTAATTCACTGTGATAGATAAAAATGTAAGGTATAAATAAGAATGAAAAACTTTACATTGCAACCTCATACAATTATGATAATTTAATTGAAATACTTAATTAGCCATGCCTCTGGTTTTGTGATGTTATATCATTCTTATTTAAGCCTTTTACTAAACTTTATATCAAATAATAGAGATATGAGAAACAAAATAACATCCAGTTCAATCCAACCTACCCTCTGCCTCATCACCATGGAGCTTATAACTAAGCAGAGTAACTGTATCCATCATGGAAGATATGAGTTCAACTCCAACCAAGAAATTGTTGACAGGCTCCAAAAGCTGCTTCTGCAAGGCCTCAGCACGGTCATTTGGTACATGCTTGATGCTGTTGCTCAGTACTTTCAATACTTGTTGTAGGGTATAGGCACCCACCTGCAGTTATTCAAAAACTGTTATTGCATCATTTTTATAATGCTGATATATCAACATTTTTACAAGTGCCATACTAAAATAATATCCTTTCCAAAAGCAGATAAATGCAGATTTACAGATACATTACTAGTGTCATTCACCTGTGATTCTCCTTGACAATGCTCTTCAAAATAGTCCACAGCAAAGGCAATATTTTTCACAGTAATATGATTGGAAAGCAAAGCCAACAGTGTCCAGACTTCTTCATTGTATTTATTCCCAATGTGAGTGCGAGCAATGCTGGCAATTTGGGGTCTGCAAGATGAAAGGAATACTTGTTGCAAACTATTTAATCATATCATTTTAAACTCTACAGCAAACACACACACACAAACAATAAACCTTACTAATTAACCAAGTTCATTTCACAGCCAGGCTTTTTTTTTTTAATCAAAATAGTGAACTGCTTTCTGCCCAATCCACTTGAAAGGCCTACATCCTTTCTAACCTAATATCATTGCAACATCAGTCATAGTAGTGTCCCCGAAACCTGATGGCTTTCCAGCAAAATCCAACAAACCTCCACTAAACATATTCTGGCAAACCAGCCTTAATGATAAATGGCCTGGAAGAATATGGCTTGGGGTGGATAGATAGGAGGTATCAGGAAGATCCAACCAATGAATACCTAGTAAAACTGTAAATTACTTGTATGATATTTGTTCAATTACCAAAACACTGTTTCACTTACAAGCTTTACAGAGTAAATCATATCAAACTTCCACTTTTATATATATATATCTGTTTAAAATTGGAAAAAAATCAATCAAACAAATGAAAAAAAAAAATATATATATATACAGAACTTAATCTATCACATTTGCAATCATGCACAACCATACATCTTTGTAATCTATGAATACAATTAAGTATACCCACCTTACATATTCTGTTTTGGACCACATCATGATAGCTTTATTGAAAAACTTGTGGAAGGAATGTTTTGTGATGCCACTCAGTACATGCCAGGGTAGCTTGCTTTCGGGCAGATTACCCTTAGGATGGTCATGAGGTAACATGGGCTTGAATAACAGTTGATCAAGAACCTATTGACAGATATAAATTGTAAATTATATTTTTAATTTCCTATCACATGAGATATTCTCCAAAATCTGTTTCAGCAATAGCATAAAAGTAATAATTTATGGATAAATCTGTAATATAATTTATGCATGTATTTCATAGATTGCTTATAAAAAATATAAATACAGTAACTTCCTGAGAAATGAAAAAGACTAATGCTTGTGACAAACCAACATGAGCAAAAATGTTACTTAACTAAAAACAACAAAATAAAGCCTTGTCATATCATTAAGACTTTGAATAAAATAAATAGCATCAAAGATATGTTCACCTGAAAGAAAATAATCATCATCATAATTCCATATATTTATCATGTGCTTCTTATTTTCATTTAAGGTCAGAACTTACCTCTACTACTCTCTCTTGAACTTTCATCTCTGGGTCAAGAATAAGGGGCAAGACCCCTTTTATCCACCTTGACATCACACCACTGTGTTCTGGGTAACACAATACAAGTGTTGTCAAAGAAGTGACCATCTGCTTACGGATGATCAGCGCTGGGTCCCGACAGTGCTCTACTAAGACCTGTGGAAAGTTGTACATTGTAATGAAGACTTTCAACAATCTAAAGATTTGAAGTAAGTCTGTAGGGTAATGTGCAAGGCAAATCTATAGATTTTCAGAAACGAACAATCATATCATTTTTGATTCATTGCTTTACACCACATTTTTTCTCAAAAGAGACTTGGGAACTTGGACCACTCCAGAGTCCAGAGTGAGTTGCCAGTTTTTTGGTAAGAATGTTTATACTATAAAAAGTGCAAGAATTTTCCTAATAACTATTTCTCATCCTATAATTTACTACTTCTAACTGAAAAGATAAGGGCTTTTCTACATTAAGGACAGTTTAATTTTGAGGGTTGCATATTAATATTTCTGATGGAAGCTAATGAATCTTACATTTTTTATTCTTACATTTTAACATGAACATTTTTTTTTCTTTTTTTGTGATACATTGCAGCCAAAATTATTAATGTTCCAAATGCTTCATTTTATGTTTGGATGCTCACTAAATCAACTTGATCATTTTTTATTTCAGTTGCAATTTTAGTTCTACTAATTACAATCTGCATTATGAGATTTGGACACATCACATTCATTTTCTGGTATTTAACAGACACTGCGTCCAATCTGCTTTGTGTCCTCCCTCAGCTTGCCTAAATATGATCCGCAAGTCCTTCTGGGGTTAATGAAAACTATTGATTTATTAAAAGGAACTGAGTTCTATTCTAAATATAATTCCAAGGAGCAATACAACTTGAGACAGCAAAGAAAGCAAACATGCATAAACTTCTGTTAACCCCCTAAAGTCTAAGGACAACTGCCTGCTTGATATCCCACCCCCCCAATTCTAAGCTGACTTGATCAATGTATAGCCTTTCCCAAACTGCCAAATGGTTTTCATGAATTATGTATGCTGTAAGTGGGATATGGGGTGTGTGAGGAGGTAACCCTAGTACGGCTTAGTTAATATCTTCCAGCTACACTTCTTTAAGGGGGGCCACCCTAGTGAAGTTCTCAGGAATATTTTTTAAATTTAGCTTTTCTATTTTCTTTGATCATCCTGTCCTTGATACCCTAAATTATCACTTGGTGAAGTCAAAATGTTGTTTTTGAACTTCATGTAATTTCACAAAATCAGTAAAAACTCTGATCGACTTGTGCTAGGTATCACTTTAACCCACTAATGCCAGTATATTTTGAAGCCGAAAATAATAGTTTCTGGGCGGCTACAAAATCGGCGCACGGGGCCAGCCCAGAATCTGCCTTTGTGCCGGCCTTGGCCCACAACGTATTCGGAGCGTGAGCTCCAATACAACATCACACTAGCGCGTCGCCAGGCAATGTTTATTTTTCTGGGTGTCTCATATATGGAACACCCGTCATAAATGGGTTAACCCACTAACGACGGGTGTCCCACATATGGGACACCCGAAAAAATAAACATTGCCGGGTGTCCCGCCAGTGTGACGCTGTAACTGGGCTTATGCTCCGATGCAGCAGCGGGCAGAGTCCGATTTTGTAGCCGCCCGGAATCTTTTATTTTTGGCTTCAAAATATACCGGCTTTAATTGGTTAAACTTCAATAAAAGTTTTTTTTTTTTTTTTTGTAGGAATAAGATTTTTTAATATGTCAAAGACAGAGGGGTTCAGGAGCCCTTATCTTTATCTTTATCTTCTTCTTTTTTTTTTTTACATCAAAGACAAAACAAACTGAATTAAGAACTAAACTTTCACATATTGACAGAGTCAAGATAATATAGTCAAATTATAAACAGTGATAGTGTAAAGGAAGGTTTACATGCATGAAGTACTGTATGTGCTTCTCAGTTAATTTATGGTTAATGTTCGTAACAATTAAACGTGTTAGACATCAAATATCATATAGCACTATGGTAAGATATCATGGAAATAAAAGGGTAAAACTGAGTTAATGATTAGAACAAAATGGGTTGCATGTCAAAAGTCATACTGCACTATTGGATACCATAGTAGTGAATAGGGTAATTAGGGGTAAATTGGGTAAACAGGGCAGGAATTAGTAAAAGGGGGAAGGGGGTTACAGGCAAATGGCAAATAGATCAAATGGAGGGTATCAAAGCATTTGAGGAGGGAGAACAAGTTGTCAAAAGAAAAAATAAGGGATTCTGTGAGAATGACCCACAGGTTGAGGGATCAGGAAAGAGAATGAGTGAGGAAAACAGGTATGGGCTGCAGCAAAGGAGAGATAAGACCACAGTATGTGTGGAACTAAACTAGGAAGAATTATGAAGTAATCCCCAAGTAAAACGGGTAGAAATGGGTGGTGAAGAAGTAGAAGAAGAACCTGAGGAATGAGACAAGGGACCAGGGGAAGGAGGTGAAGTATCAGGAAGAATCTCTAGGGGGGAAGGATCTGGGGAAGAACACTGCTGTAACAAAAGGGAGTCATGTAAACCTTCAGGAGGGTGTGGAAGGGATAATGGAGAATGAAGAGGAGGATAGGGTGTGCTGGTAAATAGCGGGAGGGAGAGGGGTAGTGGGAACTTGATTCCCTAAGATTGCTGGCTAGAGTTGAGAACTTAGTCTTTGACAGGTGCAGTCCTACTATAAACTTTTCCCAAATAAGTCATTATATAAACTTTTATCTTTGACTTTATAATATGATAATAGATAACTATTACAGAAACTTGAAAAGAATATATGGGTAGTACATCAAACTCCTTCAACTGAGAGCAAAATCCAAGTTTTGCTACAAAACTTAAATTAAGGAAAAGAAATTTTAAATTTTTTATAAAACAGATCTATGGAGTACCAATCTGGGGCCTAAAGTCTAGCCACAGTTTATTTTAAGGTAAGGGCATTTTACAGCATAAAAACCTGAAAGTTAACATGTATAAGATGATTTTCAAATGAAAGGCCGAAATTTTACAATCAGTATAAAAACAAAGTATATATAATACTATATGAATGATTAGATCATTTTGATATTTGAGTAATTTCTGTAAGTTTCTTAGAAAATTGTGATTTTGGGAGTTTATTGCCCTGAAACTTGCAAACCTGCAATTGTCTTTCCTGAAAAAAATTGTTCAAGAACAAATAGTGTAAAACAGAAATTGTTAATCATAATTTTTTTTTATTGGAGTGACACATATATTTCTAGAATGAGTGACTGCTGTCCTTAAGAAAAATATTACAAATATATTCATAGTATACTAGCAACAAGCTATGAACTACAATACATACCTCAATATTTTTATCCGTAAGCATCTCATTGTCAATTCTCATTAAGTTTTCTAAAACCTGTAAAGCTGACTTCCGTACAGTAACCTTGTCATCCAGTGCCCGACGATGCAGCATAGAAACAACTAAGGAAGCATTTGGTAAATCAAGATCCTCATCTTCTAGCTCGAGTGGAGATTCCATATTGATGTTGTTATTTTCAATGTGTGGAGTTGTAAAGACTGTTGGCCGAGAACGGAAAAATATTTGCTTCATAGCAAGCATAATGGTTGGATTGGTAGAAAATGTGCATTCTGCCAGCAAGGCCAACGCTTTTGAACGGACAGTAGCTCCACTATCACGACACCTTGAAAATATAATACTCAGTAAAAATTTATGGGAGAGAATATTTCGATCCGGTGGGACATTTACCGAATGATCTACTCTAACATTGTCAAAACTGCTACTGCTGTTGTCATCTTCAGACTCTTCCTCTTCCTCTTGACCCTCTCTTATTGTTCTGAGAGGAGGTTGTACCTCTTGAGTGCTGTTCTGCACTGGGCGATTATCTGAGCCCTCAGCTTGGCGTTCTTCTTCACCTAGCATCTTTGAGATAACCTCCAGTAGGAAAAGCCTGTGGCCTGCCTTTTCATTATGGGAGAACTTGAAGAACCATTTCATCAGTTTTGTGTACAACTGGATGGGAAGATAGCGCAATATTTCCACAACAGACTGTGCAGTTTTTTGCCTAAATTCTGCCTTGTCTGGGACCTGAATGCATAAGTGCTGGATAAGGATATATACACCTTCATGTGCTTCCTCCTTCACCTGCGTCAATATGTACTTGACAAAGATGAGGGAATGGTCTCGTATAACCCCTAAAGATCGAGCTGACAAGTCTGAAGACCCTCGACTGATCATAAGAATATTGTACATTATGTGCTTCATAATCATAATAACAATTTTGTTTACCTTACCATGAATGGGGTTGCATATAGATTGCAGTGCCACATATGCATTGTACGCTAGTGCTGTGACAGTTGCTGGGCCATGTCTGCCAACAAAGATTCCTTGGGCATTGTGGGTTTCTGACCGTGACACATCAACAAGAATACTAATGGTCTCATCCATTGACTCTGGTGAATGTTTCAATGAGAACCGTTGGGAGAGCCTCAAGAAATCATTAAGAAGAATATTCAAAGATCGAATGAGTTTGTTTGCCTCACTTGGAGTAAGCATTGTTATTTCAGCTTCATCGTCATCCTCCATGTCTGCCATTAGTTCCTCATGCGACTTCCTCTGACTACCTCTAACACCACCTTGACGCCCTTTTTTTGGGCTCACAGCTCCCACACGCAATTTAGTTGTCAGGCGCAGGATATCTAGAGCTTTGAGGTACATGACGGGGTGGAACACACGGAAGGCATTGCTTCCTGGCACAGAGAGGAGGAGGAAATAGAGGCTGGCCGCCTGGATGCCCAGCTCACGATCTTCCTCCTTGGCATCATACCTCTGACCTCGGAAGATGTAAAAAAAGAGCAGTGACATCAGCCCTTTCAAATTCACATTTTCGGACAAATCAATCCAGAATCTTGTGTGTGTTTCGACCTCACCTCTCTCCTCCTCTGTAGACTTGTTGAGGTTGGACGTCGAAGTTCTCCTGTCGCTGTCGTCGTTGAGAGCTGGCATTGTGTCAATCCACTGCCTACAGGACCCGATCACAGCGCCGAACAACCCACTGAAATTGGTGCTGCAGTGGAGATCCTCGAACTCCGGTGGCAAATCCTCCACCTCTGTGAAATCCGCGTCTATTACATTCTTTATCCATGCTGAATCAAGCTTGTCAACGGAGAATTTGAGAAGAAGATCCAGAACTTGCTGCGCCCGCCCGTCCACCGCCATCTCTGCCATTTTGAATTTGTTGTTGTTTGAAATGTCTACATAAACTGACTTTTATCAAGAGCATAAATTCAAATGTTTCTATATCTTTTTAAATTTAGAAAATTAAAAGGATGATAAAGTTTTAAATCTGATGCTAATTTCCCTGTATTCAGGTTTGATATGCGCCCAAAATATATACATGCAATAATCTTTCTGGTGATACTTGATTCGGTCATTTTGGCTTTTTATTCAATAAATAAATAAATAAAATAATACCATTCCAGTCTTCGAGTTTTTGAAATTAAACTAAAAACAATAAGTAACCATTCAAAATGTTAATCTATTTCATGACGATAATTCCCAAATGTGTTTCTTTTCCCCCTGGATGTAAGTTGTACGTTATGTTTGGCAACTTCCTATAATTTGGGTCCCTTTATGAGTTTGGAATAAAGTAAGAATAACACAAATGTGTGTTTTTTCTGTTTAATGCAATCCGCTTTGCTACGGTTTAAATCGTTAGGGCATTTGAATCTACAATTTAAAACTGCACGTCCACAATTCTATATACCGAACAAATTCTTAAGGAAGATCATTTTTATGAATTCTATTTCGATCTGATTTCTGATAAACCTCATTCGAAAACACTGCTAGGTTTGTAATAGTTATTTATAAGTTGTAGATGGTACTTGATTCCAACTAAAGTGGATGCTACTCCATGGTCAGTTTCACACAACACATGTAAATGTACTTTATTTCTATCTAACAATAAGTAACCAATGACTTCATAAAGTTTTCGGCAGACTAACCACCTGTGAGTGACAGTCAGTGTTGCCAGATGAATGAAAAAATACCTTCCTAAAGTAGTGCTACCTTTAGCAGAATTTGCTATGTGATACTGTGCTAGCAGATAATGATCACCCTATGACTTTTTGTTTTTTTTCGGGGGAGGGGGGGGGGTACGTGTTGAATTTGTATTTCTTTTTCAGTGATGTCGATAAAGACACCATTTTCCAAAATTTCAGACACATGGTAGTAGACTGACGCATACACACTTCTTTTTACATGCTTGTTTTCCCCACAGTAGCATACGGTATCGCGAGTCTGTCATTAATGAGTAAAGGGCATTCTCGAAAGTGCATGAAGATCTTGCAGAGGAGTGTGCCGTCGTCGCGAAGGGAAAATGTTAGATGTCAAGAGCAAGATCCATAATTCAGGGAGTAAAGGGAAGCTTTTAGAAAGCGAACTTCTGAACTTTCCCTGTGCAAAACGTTTCCTTGCAATCTCAGGTTTATTTACCGATAATGGTAGGGCATTTCGGAATGAAGTATCATATACTTTTTTCCACTTTTTTATAAGAGGAGGCAGATTCAAAATTAAATTAGAAAACACACAGACAGGAATATAGATATGAATTAACTAATAAGTTAATAAATGTATAATATTCATATATATATATATACACACACACACATACACACACACACATATACACATACACACACACACATACACACACACACACACCCACACACACACACACCCACACACACACACACATATATATATACACACACACATATATTCACACACACACACACGTAATAACTTCGTATAACATACATTATACGAAGTTATACGATATATATATATATAAAATATATATATATAATATATATATATATACACACACACATATACACATACACACACACACATATATACACACACACACGTAATAACTACATATAGCATACATTATACGAAGTTATACGAGGTATGATGCCAAGGAGGCGTAATAACTTCGTATAACATACATTATACGAAGTTATACGAGGTATGATGCCAAGGAGGCGTAATAACTTCGTATAACATACATTATACGAAGTTATACGAGGTATGATGCCAAGGAGGCGTAATAACTTCGTATAACATACATTATACGAAGTTATACGATATATATATATATACACACACACATATATACATATACAT